GAAGTACACACAGATATACAGGAAGTACACACAGATATACAGGAAGTGCACACACATATACAGGAAGCACACACAGATATACAGGAAGTACACACAGATATACAGGAAGCACACACATATATACAGGAAGTACACACAGAGTTACAGGAAGTACACACAGATATACAGGAAACACACACAGATATACAGGAAGTACACACATGAAGCCATGAAGAATCTGCCACGTTCAGTGTGTGAAGCTTGTTTCTATACTCTTATCAGTTCAGCAGAACTCACATAAGAGGTGACCTTGGAGCAACATCTGCACGCTGCAGCCTCACACAGCTCCTCGTCCATCTCTCTAACCCAAACATATGGTTCTTGGGCAGAGTTAACATCCTCAGCCATAGGAGTTAAAAACATCCATAAACTTTGACCAAAAGTTCCCAAACACTAAATTGAGAAGAGTTTGAGAAGAGTTTGATACATCTGCAACAAATTTTCAATTATTCTGAGAGAAAATGTATTAGATACATTTTTTAACACGTTCAAAATTCAAGCGAACAAGACTGTGAGCTTACAAGTCATGCAAGAAAACTGAGAACCCCCAAGAATATTTTGAAACATTTTGCAGAATCCATAGCAAATGCTGTTTTTCATCTAGTTGCAGTCTCAGCCCAGTGAGATAAAACCTTTAGTAATTCAACATTACAATGGAATGCCAAAGTATTGCAAAACTTCCGAATGTTTCTCTTGACTTACTAGTATGATTGAAATTTATGTTTTGGTCACATTGAGTAGAGAGGATTGTCCTGAAGTGTACTGATGTTTCAAGATGGTCTTTTATTTGTTTCCTTCAGCATCATCGAAACACTGTAGCTACTGGGCATAAAAATAATATAAATGAGCTCCTGTACAATGGCTAAATATCTCTTCAGTTAAATATCTAGACCTTCAAGAAATAACTACTTACCAGTACATATAACTTTTCACACAATAGCAAAGAAAACTTTCAGTCAGCACTCTTGTAGCATGTGGGTGTTCTAGTGTTGTAGTACTCGAGACAGGTCTTGGTCTCGAGACCGGTCTCGAGACCACTTTTTGACGGTCTCGGTCTCGTCTCGGTCTCGACCGCATTTGGTCTCGGTCTTGTCACGGTCTCGGACATTGAGGACTCGGGATTTTTTTTCAAGACCAGTCAAGACCACAACTGTGAAAATATCACTAAATTGCCAGAATATTGTCCAGTTTATTTGTTAACATCTTTGCTTTTACTGGATGCAAAACATACCGATTCAAATTCAAGCGATAACGTGACTCATAGCAGCTAGCTACATGTTTTTGTTACCACTCCAGTGTTGCCAGGTTGGGTGGTTTACTGCCAATTGGCCAGTTTTCATTCTGATTTTGCTGGGAACTCTGGGAAGATTTTTGTTGGACTGTTCCGTTTTGCCACATATTGTTAAATTACCTTGGCTTGTACTGATGTGGGTTTGTGTTCAAAAAGTAAATATACTGTAACAAATATAGATTGTGCAGGTTTTTGTGTGATGTTGCGGTTTTTAACCGATTTTTTGCTGGAAAATCTCGACTATCTGGCAACACCGAGCCCACCTCCTTTCACTCGCAAGCGTCAGGGAAGAAAAGTTAGACTCGTTTGTGTTTAGAACAAGAGAAGATGTCTTCTAAATCTGCTGTTATAAAGTTTGGCTATTTGAGTCACAAAGAGTATGTTTGCAAAACAACTCTGAAAAAAAAGCACACGGCGCAATGCAAGTTCTGCAGCGCTTCACTTTCGGAGACTGTCGGGACTACATCCAACTTTTATCGACACCTGGAAAGGAAGCACAAAGAAAGGTAAGCGCCGCAGCTTTGTGTAAGTGATGCTAGTAAAGCTAGCTAGTTAACGTTATCAATCTGCCTCTCTTCCAAGAACAATACAAACAGAACGTTTTATCAAGTATGGTTTATTTGTCATAATGCAAAATCAACACAAGGTCGACAACAATGCAGTGAATTGCTTAGGACGAGAAAAACAGTCTTGACTCGCCAAAAACAAACAAAAAAATAACAACAACAAATACCAAAGCATGCATCACAAATACTAAAATAAGGGACAAAAAGTTGAAAAAGTAATTCATCGACATTAAATCTAAATACATCTAAATTAATTAATGTGTGTCAGACTCAGACCCGCTTTGTTTAGCCCTTAAATGAGTTTTACTTTATAACACTGATATAATTAACATATTAAGGGAAGTAAGCAAATTCACTGTTTACATACAGTTAAATCAGGTCCTCTGAGTGTGTGTTAAAAGAAAAAAAGTAGAATATTATCTGCACAGCTTTTTTCTACCTTTTTTTTCTTTTAACACTCCCAGAGGACCTGATTTAACTTTTTTTAAATTTTCTACCTGGGTTATTGAGCATGCATAAGGACAAATTCACTGTTAACTTTGAGAGACTGAGGGGACAGGGCATGTGGTAACAAAATGTAGAAACGTTTCATCTTTCATCCAAAAGACTACTTGACTTCTTAACAAAAGACTTCATTGTAAGAGGGACTGTCTTCTTCTTACATCGCTGATATTGCTAGTATCACTCAGCCCCCTGTGAATAGCAAGCAACCATCAGGGTGCCAACGATTCATTGTTAGGCTGATGGTCTCCCTTAGCATATTTGGCAAACTGGTTGATCCACTGTGAGAAGGTGCTAACTGTGTTTAATATGTCCTGATGCATGCTCCATCACACAGGTAGAAAAATCTTAAAAAGTTAAATCAGGTCCTCTGGGCGTGTTAAAAAAGTAAAAATAAAAGGTAGAAACATTTCGTCTTTCGTCCGAAAGACTTCCTCAGGCTGAGGAGCTGCATTCAGCTCAGCCCTATAAATAGTGCCTCCTCACAGTGGACCAACTGTTTGTTGTTGATGAAACTAGCTGCTCACATGTTCAAGGAGGACCATCAGCCTAATGATGGATTGTTAGTACCCTGATGGCTGCTTGCCTTCACCGGGGGCTGAGTGATACTAGCAATAACAGCATTGTAAGAGGGGGACAGTTGAACCCGGAGGCCTCCACCTCTGTTTAAAGATGGATGGTTTCTTTTCACAAAGATGGCCTCCTTTACTCCTCTCTCAAACCATCGTTCCTCTCTATCAAGGATGTGAACATCTTCATCCCTGAAAGAGTGACCGCTGGTCTGGAGATGAGTGTAAACCGCAGAGTCTTGGCCTGAAAATGTAGCTCTTGAGTTTAATATAGCTCCTCATATTGAAGAAGTCTTTTGGATGAAAGACAAAACATTTGTATAATTTTTTATTGTTTAAACCCATCCAGAGGACCCAATTTAACTTTGTTAGATTTTTCCAAGTTTAATTTTTGCTTATGATAAACAATGGAGGATATATTTGACATACATTTATGAAGTTGCTACTTATTTTTAAGTGTTCTTTTGATGTAATTGATGTTCATGACCAGATATACTGATTCCTCCTTTGCATTTTTTAGGTTCCTGGAATACAAGGCAGGGCAACAGAATGATGTCACAGTCACACAGCCATCAATTTCATTATTTACGCAGAAAGTGCAGCTCTACAGCCCACAATCACCAAGGCAACAAGCCATCAGTCAAGCCATTGTCCAAGATTTGATCATTGGGTGTTGTCTGCCTCTCTCACTTGTGGAAAACAGTCATTTTAAACACTTTCTTGAAGTTATGGATAGTAAATACACACCAATCTCTAGAAAAACGGTTTCTGATAGACAAATTCCAGAGTTGGTAATCAAGGTCAAGGACACTGTTTTGGAGAAACTGAAGACCCAGTCATCTGTGTCATTAACAACTGACCTCTGGTCTGATCGCAGGCTACGCTCCTTCCTTGGGGTGACCGCCCACGTGTGCTACAAATCAAAGGATTCCTATGCACTTGAATCCTACCTGCTGGACTGTAGGCGTTTCACAGGCATACATACTGGAGAGCACATTGCGTCTGCCTTTGAGGAGATCACAGAGGAATACGGTATCCATGACAAAATTAGCTATATCATAACAGACAATGCTGCCAATATGAAATGTGCTTTCAAAGTACACATGCCCCAATCTGATGACAGCGAGAGTGAAGAGGAGCATTTAGATGACGAGCACCTGTGGGAGGACATTAATTCTCAGGAAGACACCGAATTACCCTGGTCATCTGGTGCACGTCTTTCCTGCTTTGCACACTCTCTGCAATTAGTTGTGAATGACGGCATGAAGGAGGTCAAGGCCATTTCTCACACAATAGCCAAAACATCACGGTTCACCACCTTATTGCATAGCAGTTCACAATTCAAAGACAAGTTTGAGGCTACGTTTGGCACTAATAGGACCATTCCAGCTGCAAACACAACTCGATGGAACAGTATATTTAAACAAGTACAGGCCTTCACAGCTCTGGACCACAAAGCCCTGAATGAAATGTGCAGCAAGGATCACGAGGAGTTGGTGTTTAGTGCCCGTGAGTGGAACCATCTGAAGGAACTGAGTGCAGTTCTTGCTCCATTTTCTGAGGTAACAGACCTGACAGAAGGGGAGAAATCAGTTACCATTAGTATGGTGGTTCCAACTGTCCTGGACTTGAATACACACCTCCTCAAGATGGAGGACACTCGAATGCAGTGCCAGTCATTGGTCAGAGCCCTCCAGCAGTCTCTGGTGAAAAGATTTTCTGGAATCTTTTTAAAAACAAGCATGGCCAAAGACAGTGGAAGAGAGGAACCTTTTAACCACAATGTTTACTTCTTGGCCACCATGCTGGATCCTCAGTTTGGCTTAAGCTGGGTGGACTTAGATGTTACCAATGGGGGAAATTCAACATCAGTGAAAAAGTTCAGAGATGAGCTTAAGAAGACACTGACAGGTCAGTATATATTTTCTCTGCTGAAAATAAATGTCTTATTTGCAAAATCATAAATCCTAAAATATTTCAAATTAGTTGTCTATAAAAGCCTTAACTAGTCTTACAGTGGAATTCATAGTCTTCATTTCATCTGTTTACTTTTGTCATAAAAACATATTTTGTACACTCTGAGCCTATTGAAACAGATATTCTTTATATTTAGGCTGGTAACATGCCTATTGTACACAATCCTGACTCACTTTTATATTAAATGGGACTGTACTTATATAGCACCTTTCTATCTTATCAGACACTCAAAGCACTTTACATTACAATCTGTGCCTCATTTACACATTCATACGGCACTCTATTAGATCTCTACAAAGCTAATTGAACAAATCATTCAAAGGAGACTAATCAGAGCTTTATCACATTCATACACTGATGGGACGCACATCGGAGGCCCCTAATAAAAGGTCCTAAACGTATTTAATTCAACTCTGATATGTGCATATCCTTTTAAATCTAACTCAGTCATTGTGTTTGTGTTTTTCAGAAACATTGATCTTAGAGGTGGAGAAGATGATGGACATGAAAGAAGACACGTGCTCAGAAGTTGTGAATGTGGATCCAGCCGCAGCCAGTGATTCGCCACCAAACAAATACCCTCGCCTTCTGTCCCGCTACAAGGCATACAAAAAGCACAGCTCAGACCAGGATTCAAGCATACACACACAGATAAGGACATACTTTGATGCCATCCGTGACTTTGACACAGACAATGCACTTGTCTTCTGGGCAAAAAACCACACTAGATTTCCACAACTGCACAATTTGGCAATGAAGGTCCTATCAGTCCCTGCCTCCTCTGCACCAGTGGAAAGGGTTTTCAGTCGAGGAGGCATTTTAATGAGACCCCATCGTGCACGTTTAGGCCACAGAATGTTGCAATCACTCATATTTCTTAAATGCAATGAAACACTTCTTTAAACTCCAATAATCAGTTAGTCATCTGGACAGTTTTTTTTTTTTTTTTGTGGAAAGACTGACGTTTTGCCCTCCGGGGGCTGTCCTCTCCCCCGTCGACTCCTTCCAAAATGCAGCCACAGCCAAAGTGGGATTTTTTTTAAGTAGTTATGCATCGGGCAAACTTTGTGTTGCTTTGTATAGCTGCAACGTTGAAATTGATTAGCCTCGTGGTTTTCTTTCTGTAGTAGTTTTTGTTCACATTCCTGGCTGCCTGCAGTGCAGTTATTTCTCTGAAACTTTATGAATATGAATAAGCTACTAAGTTTTCTTGGGTGATTTTTATGATACTGTGTTTTTTTTTCTTAATGTGCCTTGGATCATACAATGGAAGATCCCCAAGCAAATACACAAGTCTAAATGAAAATTAAACAATTTTAGAAAGTAACTGACTTCAAGTTTCCAATTTAATCCTAAAGACTGCATTTATACTGCCCAATATTTCATGTTGACTTCAAGAGACCAAAAGAAGGTAAATGCATCTTGAGTTTTGTTTTATTAGGATCAAAATGGGTCACTTAAATTAGAGTTTAAATAAATTAAAGTAAGCATGCACAAGTTGTGTACAAAAGACATTGCAGTACAAAATTCATTTCACAAACAACACTGTTTAAAAACGTAAAAACATTACTGTCTGGTAAAATCATCAGTTTTGACACATTAAAAAGGCTCATAACTTTATAAAAATATTTTATAATAACATTTTATTTATTTTTTTATTTTATTTGTGGATTTGGTCTCGAATTGGTCTCGCCCTCCCTCGGTCTTGGTCTTGTCTTGGTCTCGGACTTTAAAAGTCTTGGTCTTGTCTTGGTCTCGGACCCTAAAAGTCTTGGTCTTGTCTCGGTCTCGGTACACTCTGGTCTTGACTTGTCTTGGTCTCGGGTTAGGTGGTCTTGACCACAACACTAGGGTGTTCTACTTACAACATAAGGTGATGCTATTTTTAGTAATTGTACCAACTGGATTAATGGCAAATATCACCATAGCACACTATTGTAAATGAACTAATTGCAATATTTCAACAGAAATAAACATATTAGACAAACACTACATTGTTCCTACTTCAACTGGGCACTTAAATAATCTGTAAAACATTAAAGTTCAAAGACATTTTGACTGTTGTAGAAGTTTCTAATTGTTATGTATTTAATCTACACACTCTTACATGGAAAGGAAGGACGTGCACAAACATTCTCAAGTTTTCTTTTGTTTTTACAAGTACAAATATGTTGTACCTTCAAAGTTAGTGGCATGCTGTGTTGATCGAACCAGAGACATATTGTGGCCTGGGATGTGCTATGTCCTAGCATGGTACCTACAGCCTAGCGTTTCTTAAAGGAGTGCATATTCACCTGCTGCAATATATGCAGCTGCTTCGACTGCAGTGTCTTCTCGTCTCTTGAATATCTAACAAATGTCCAAACACTTTTAGCTCCTTAGCTTGCAGATGGTGGTGACAAATTTGTTTGAATTATTCCTGTAGATTATATACCGGTAAGCATTAGACTTTAACAAACAGAATTAAGTGTTTGGTCCAGCTGTGTAGATGTGTTAACTGCACATGCAGTGTGTGTTATTCACTGTTTAGATTTCACGTCTCTGTTTGACTCCAGCTGCCCCCTGCTTGGCCTGAACGGGGCTCTTTGGAGTTCCATGGTGTGGTTCTGGCCTACAGAGAGGGTCTTCCAAATGCGCTGGATGGAGTGAGCCTGGTGGTACGACCCGGCGAGAAAATTGGAATAGTTGGACGCACAGGTTCTGGAAAGTCCACCTTGTTTCTGGCCTTGTTTCGAATGGTGGAGCTCAACCAGGGGCAGATACTTCTGGATGAGCTGGACATTAGCACAGTGGGCTTAGCTCAGCTAAGGTATGTCTGATTGAAGGAATGCAAATCACCCGCTGTCTTCCTTAGTGAGCATTTTAGATCATTTTTTGTTGTGAAATGAAGAAAATATATATTTGTTTTTCTCAAACCTTGTAAATAATGTGTAATGTTGCAGCATCGAGAGTTGTTACGCAGTGTCTGTGTTGTGAATGACTATCTGCTACTACCAGAACACACTTTATCACAAAAACAACAAAGTTGATTGAGATTTGTTGTTCTTTAAGTCAGTTGGCTGTGACAGCCATCTTGAATCTGGGTGACTCCAAAAGTTAATCAGTTGTAGACTATCCTGATGCATGCTCAACAATCCAGGTAGAAAAATCTAAAAAGGTTAAATCTGGTCCTCTGGACATTCAAAAAACAAAACAAAGCAAAAAAAAAAATGTAGAAACGTTTCGTCTCTCATCCGAGAGACTTCCTCAGTCTGAGGTGCTGTATTCAGCTCAGTCTCTTAAATAGCACCTTCTCAGAGTGGATCAACCAGTTTGCTGCTGACAACCAAAACCAGCTGCTCACATGGTCAAGAAGGACCATCAGCCTAACAATGGATCATTAGCACCTGATGGCTGTTTACTACTCACAGAGGGTTGAGTGATACTAGCAATCACAGCATTGTAAGAGGGGGACAGTTGAACCAGGAGGCCTCCACCCCTGTTTAACGATGGACGATTTCTTTTCACAAAGATGGCCTCCTTTACTCCTCTCTCAAATAAATGGCAGCCTTCCGATAAAAAATGACAGGTTGGCTTTCTTGGACTGTGAGGTCTCAGTCTCTGATAGAGGACATTTACAAACTGAGGTGTACCACAAACCCACCCACACAGACCAGTATTTGCAGTTTGACTCCCATCACCCTTTGGAGCACAAGTTAGGAGTCATCAGGACTCTGTACCACAGAGCAGACAGCGTCCCCACTAGCTCAGGAGCCAGGCAGAAGGAGAAATCCCACACAAGACAGGCTCTAGAGCAATGTGGATATCCTAACTGGGCCTTCCTGAAAGCAGAGAAGAAACCCAAACAGGACTCCAGTCAGCCATCAGGTGAAAAGGAGGAACCCAGACCCAGACCAGTGGTCATTCCGTATGTTGAGGGAGTATCAGAGAAACTGTGATGTTTATTTTCTAAACATAACGTCCCAGTGGCTTTTAAACCCCAAAATACATTAAAGACTGGTTCATCCCAAAGATCCAGTCCCCCGGCACAAACAGAGTAATATTGTGTATGTTGTTCAGTGTCAGGAGGGCTGTGATCAGTCTTACATCGGGGAAACAAAACAGCCACTGGCCAAAAGGATGGTCCAGCACAGAAGATCAACCTCATCAGGCAGGACTCTGCGGTCTACACTCATCTCCAGGCCAGCGGTCACTCTTTCAGGGATGAAGATGTTCACATCCTGGACAGAGAGGAACGATGGTTTGAGAGAGGAGTAAAGGAGGCCATCTTTGTGAAAAGAAATCGTCCATCATTAAACAGGGGTGGAGGCCTCCGGGTTCAACTGTCCCCCTCTTACAATGCTGTGATTGCTAGTATCACTCAGCCCTCTGTGAACAGTAAACAGCCATCAGTGTGCTAATGATCCATTGTTAGGCTGATGGTCCTTCTTGAGCATGTGATCAGCTGGTTTTGGTTGTCAGCAGCAAACTGGTTGATCCACCCTGAGAAGGTGCTATTTAAGAGACTGAGCTGAATACAGCTCCTCAGACTGAGGAAGTCTCTCGGATGAGAGACGAAACGTTTCTACATTTTTTTGTTTTTTTGAATGTCCAGAGGACCAGATTGAACTTGTTTAGATTTTTCTACCTGGATTATTGAGCATGCATCAGGATAACTTTTTTAGAGTTGTAGACAATATTTACTTTCGGCTAGTTTCATTAAAATTCATTCAGTGGTTGAGATATTATGCTAACACTGCAGACAGATTTTTTACCTTTGCCTGCGGCAGCATGTAAAAAATTATTTTAGGATTACATTTCTGTACTTTACTGTATGACAAAAGCCGTGATCAATATAATAATGTTGACTGTGTGCTTTTCATGTCCTCTGCAGGTCCAAGTTGGCTATTATACCTCAGGATCCCTTCCTGTTCAGTGGGACCATCCGGGAGAACCTGGACCCCTGTGGCAGAAACCTGGACCAGCAGCTCCTTGACGTACTGGACCAGTGCCACCTCACCTCTGTGGTCAGCAGGATGGGTGAGTTATTAGCTCAGCTAGGTATGGCCTGGCAATCTTTGAAGGACTGCATATCACCCGCTGCCTTCTGTCCCAGTCTTTTAGGCTAAAATCATCTTATGATGAAACAGGATGAACATTAACCATTTTTTGGTCAGATCTGTAAATTATGTTATGCACGATCTCAAGCTTTATGTGTTAGCTGATTCAACTCAGACAAAAGATGGAAAAGCACAAGTCAGGGGATGGATACTAAAAGATTTCCATAAACATCCACAAGAGTTTTGTTAAATCCATCATGAAGAAATGGAAAGAATATGGGAAATGTGGACCATAATTTCTGGACTATTGAGCACACCCGAATATAAGCTGTGCCCACTAAATAAAAAAATTAATTGTACATATACAGGCTGTGCTAGTCTATAAGCAACGGGAGTCCATGTTGTAACATGAGACATTTACACAGAAAGATTTTTTTAAACTTTCAAGCACTGTGTTTTTCAGACTATAAGGCGCACTTAAAATCCTTTAATTTTCTCAAAAATCAACCTTGAGCCTTATGTATTAATTCTGATTGTGCTTACTGACCCCGAACCGATTTTATGTGTTACAACGGAACAGTATTGAGAGTTACTGTGAATGAGTTGAATAAAGTTTGACTTATTTGACTGGTTTATTTCGCTTAATGCGCATTCTAATCGAAAACAGACCCCTTCATTGATATTGTGCCCTATAATCCGTCTTAATTCCAAAAAATACGGTAAATACTAGGATTGGACAATAGTTTAATATCGGTATATGTCACGATATACTTTTATTCAATAGCGTGTTATGAGTTTTAAGCACATTTTTGATATTTCGACATGATTACATCGTTTCACTGACGTTCTGTTCGGGTTGAAGCGGCCGCTTCAGTTTCAACCTGAACAGAAAAAGGTGCGACACAACTACGTCAGTGCGTGGTGACGTAGTTGTTGCGCAGAGCTCGAGTCCAGAAGGAGTCAGCGGTAGCAGGCTAGGCTAATCTCCAACGTGCGTTAAGTTTTCACTTCAAAATTAGTTCCCATGACGGTTAGAATGTGACGGAACAAGCGCAGAGAAAGCAAATGACATCACTGATAAGAGAGGAAAGACTCATCCGTGTTGTGGAAGTGGTTCGGTTTTCTAAGATCTGATGAGCTGCAGGTTTCAGCGTGCTGCAAAACGTGACGGAGAGTCGTTCTAAGTAGCGGTGGGAACTCGTCTAACTTGTTCCACTCGATAGAATCTGCTGAGAGTCAGAAGATGAAGCACAATAAAAGTTTGAGCCAGCTGAAACATCACCCCCAGCTGTATCAAAACACAAACACATGCAGCAAATGCAGATGTTTGCTGCATGTGTTGTTAACGTTAAAACTATTAATATTGACAAAGTTGAGAGTTTTATGTTTATTTGACGGTGATTTCAATGTTTTTTAAGGCTAAATACAAACAAAAGGTGAATTTTAATTTATTTGTACGGTTTGTTTAGTTTTTCTGAGGCTTTTATATTGTTTATATTAGCGACCAAAATTAATTCAGTTCAGTTCAGTTTATTTATAAAGTGCCAAATCACAACAAAGTTGTCTCAGGACACTTTACAGGAACATTCACACACATAGAAAAGAATTAAGAAATATATCATGACAAAAGTTGTGGCCATATTGTCCAGCCCTAGTACATACATACCAGTAACATATACAAATACGTACAATAATGTTTTGTTTTTTTCTGGCAGTGCCGGTAACACGTCTGGTTAAACAAAAAGCAGTAGCCTGCCAGGAAGTCACTGACCACTATCTTCATATTCCTCCTGCGCAAACTTGTGCTGACCTCCTGCAAATACTTTGTTGTGGGATGGGAGACCATACTTAGCACAACGGGGAGAGGAGAGAAAGTGGAGGGGTGAAACGAAACCCCCCCCCCCGCACACACACACACACACGCACACACACACACACACACACACACACACGCACACACGCACACACACACACACACACTGTGACCTGCTCAGTAATTCCAGTGGTCAGATTTTTTCACGTCAGCATTGTATAAGCCGGGATGTTCAAAGTGTGTTAAAAAAGTATTGGCGCTTCAAAAGTAGTGGAAAAAAGTACAGTATCATTGTACATGTACATGATACTGTACTTTTGGTAATGTTACACACACACACGCACGCACGCACACACACATGCAGGCCTTTGGGTGATGGCAAGAAACGAGGATGACCAGCCCACTATTCTTTTTAGGCACACGTTACCTTTTTAATATAAAAAAGCGTTTGATAAAACGTGTTAGAAATTCAAAGCATTGCTTTGATGAATGGGTGTAAATGAGCTGAGGTGTGTGTGTGTGTGATTTATCAGGAGGTCTAGGGGCCGAGGTGGGGGAGCGAGGGAAGCGTCTCTCTGCAGGACAGAGACAGCTGCTGTGTTTGGCCCGAGCTCTGCTGACGCAGGCTAAGGTGAGTCTCAGCCCCGTCATTATACTGGAACACATCTCACATCTTTTCCACCCAGTTAAGCTGAAGACTGGTCTTTCATCTGTTTAATGTTGTGAGCACTGAGGCAGGTGTGTCTGTGGACAGGTTTATTTAACCTGCGGGCGTCCCAGCCCTGCAGCAGGACACCTTATGTGTGTGTCGAGACGAGAACGAAGGCTGAAGCCCGTCCTCTCACCCGTTCCAGACTAGTACTGGTTTCATTTTGTGAATGTGTGAGCGTCATCATGAAAAAAGCCTGCCTTGAAAATGTCTTCCACAATAAGTACTACCACAAATATGCTTTTGATTTTTTTGTCAGGTGATATGTGTGTTACTGGCGTTCAGCTGTAGCTTTAGCCTCAGTGTTTTGTGGCTGTGATGGTGTAGCTGAAGTCATTTTCATCCAGTGGGTGTGCCAGCCTATTGTCCTGTGTTTGTTGTTATAGCAACTCTTAAGCAGGTGGTTTGAATACTCTGAAAGGTGTTTATGTGCTTTAATGTTGTGTTTGTCCTTAGTTGTCGTGCAGGAAACGATCATAGCACAGTACAGGAGTGTAGCCAAGATTAAAGTAAGGGCCGAATTTAAGCACAAATATAATCTGAGCAAGGAAATCATTAAAATAGTATTTTAATATGTGTGTACCCATCATGTTTTGCTTTAATTTATTTAGTATTTTTCTCTATTGGACTATTTTTATTTATCTGTTTTCTGTTTTTATCTCGATAATTTGTGATGAATGTTCAGACTTTTGCCTTGTTTGATTTGGTGCCCGTGTGTTGTGGAGAATAAAGATGCAACATAATTCCAGCTGTTTCAACTCCTGAACCACATTATTTGATTTGATTCTGATCTTTAGATCACTGTGAAATCAGTAAAGTCTCATTCTTTTCATGTCAGTTCATTTGTATAGTGCTGCTTTTCAACAAAAGTCATATCAGGCCAATAATGGAAACAACAAACGAATAAATACATTTAAAAAACACTACCAGTAGTCTGGTTCATAGATCAAGTTCAGATCCCAATTCAAATCCAATTACAGTCAATTTGTCCTTGTTATAACACATTATAAAATGACAGTTAGTAAAACAAATAAATTAAATTAGTAAGTTAAGGAAACTAGTAGATCACATTGTATCTTCACCTCCTTCCCAATTTGAGCAACAGTGGAAAGAAACAACTCTCTTCTGACGAGAAGAAACCTGCAGCTGGACCAGAACCGGGCTCAGGACTGGTGGTCATGTGCCTCATCCGGCTGGGGTTAGAGAGAACAGGAAAGAGACAAAAACAAACAGAACAACTGGCCCAGCTCTAGTTTCTATGGGAAGAAGCCCGAAGAAAAGCACGTTCATGATAGAAATGATTACAAATACAAATGTGAGCAGTAAGGTGAATAATTCAGCTGCAGAGTGAAAAAGTGTGGTCAGTTGGTTCTCCAGCTGTCTTTAAGCCTACAGCAGCTTAACTACGGGTTATCTCAGGGAACCAAAGTCAACTATAACTATAGGATTGATCAAACAGGAAAGATGTGTCAGCCTCACGGACAGAAACTGGGAGTTGATTCCACAGGGGAGGAGCCTGATAACTGAAATGAATGAATGAACGTTTGCAGCAAGATGCTGCATATCTTCTATAAGTCTGTTGTAGAGAGCGCTGTCTCTTCTGCCATCATCTGCTGGGGGGGCAACACCAGAGCAAGTGACTTAAAAAAGATCAACAAGCTCATAAAGAAGGCTGGCTCAGTTCTGGGGACTCCTCTAGAACCTTTGGAGATGATTGTTCTAAGAAGAATTCTTCATAAAATGAAGAACATTATAGACAACCCTCAGCATCCTCTTCATCAGACTGTCATACAACAACAGACTGTCATACAACAACAAAGTGTCTTCAGTCAGAGGCTTCTTCAGATCTGCTGTAGGACAGACGCTACAAGAGATCCTTCCTGCCCACAGCCATCAGCATCTAGAACAACTCTTTAATGAAACCAGGATGATGAGTTACAACAACATTTAATTTACCTCTGGATTAAAAAAGTATTTTTGAATTTGAATTTTGAATTTGAAAGATCTGCCTCCTATTTTATTCTTAGAAACTCTGGGAACCACAAGTAAACCTGCAGTCTGAGAGTAAAGTGCTCTGTTTGGAAATATTGACTAAGATCTTTAATATAAGATGTTTGGTTTTTTATGTTACAAGTAGGGCTGGGCGATGCACCGAATACACTCCATCCATCCATCCATCCATTATCTTTACCCGCTTCTTCCATTTTGGGTCACGGGGGTCGCCGGTGCCCATGTCCAACAATCACTGCGAGGGACGGGGTACACCCTGGACAGGTCTCCAGTCCATCAAAGGGACACATAGAGACAAACGAGACAAACAACCATTCACTCTCTCCCTCACACCTAGACACAATTTAAAGTTACTAATCAGCCTAACATGCATGTTTTTGGTCTGTGGGAGGAAACCGGAGTACCCGGAGAAAACCCATGCATGCACGGAGAGAACATGCAAACTCCACCCAGAAAGTCCCCCGGACCGGGGTTTGAGCTGGGGACCTGCTCGCTGAGAGGCAGCAGCTCTACCAGTTGTGCCACCGTGCTGCCCATCGAATATACTCGATGTATCGCAAATTTTTCAGTTTACGATGGTTAAAATGACTCTATGACCATCGAGTATTGTTAGACTTGAAATTCTGTGGTTCTTTTTCTCCCGTCTGCGCCACCAACTGCATGTGGCCCCGCCTTCTCCCTCTCTAAATACAAACACATCCCCTCACTCGTGCGCACTGCCCCCGCTTCCTGCTTCTCCAGGTGGGCGGGAGACGTTCAGCACAACAAGTAAACTCAGGAGATATTGAAGAGCTGCTGAACCAAAAGATAAACAGTGGCTGTTATTTGGAAAATAAATTGTCAGATGAGCAGCAGAAAAAATGTGTTCTGTAGACAATGCTGAAAAAAAGTCCCGACAAAAGGTCAGAACTACGAATCTTTTTCACCATTTAAAACAGTGCTATAAGTTGTAAGCTGCAGCTCTGACTGTGTTTTCAGCCTCCTTCCCTGAAACAAACCACGGTCTGAAACTCATTTAGCCGTTCTGTGCCTCATGAGAGGAGCAGTGAGAGGTGGTGCCACTTTAATCAAGCAGCAGCTTATCATGTCACTACAGATATGGTCCCAGTCTGAACTGTGCAACAAGACGGCTAACAGACGGCTAAAGTTAGCCATCTTGTTAGCTGCTAAGCACCGTGTCTTTAGCGATATGATAAACTGCTGATTTATTAATGTGGCGCCGCCTCACACTGTAAGACTTGAAAATCCGTGTAGTTCTTCTTTTCCTGCCCGTCTGTGCTGCCAACTTCACGCAGCCCCTCCTTCTCCCTCACTGCTGCTTCACACACGCTTACTAACGTCATGAAGGCGGCACAGCTGGGGAGGATTACTATTTAATATATGTAAAAAAATGACTAAAAAATAAACTATTTACAGGTAATATATGCAAATTGTTTATTTTTTAGACATTTATTTAGTAGAGTTACAGCTGTTTGTTACTATATGTGCCTGTGTGACAATGGGACAACGCTTTGACTCAGAAATATATTTTTGATATTACTTTATGGACAGAAGAAAAACTGAGATATATATTGTATATAATGATTTATCTTTTTTTTTTTAATTGAGATATTAATTTTGGTCCCTATTGCCCAGACTTAGTTACAAGTAACATTTTAGATTATATTCTGAATTTGACGGAGCCGACAGAGAGAAGCTAAAACAGGAGAAATATGATCTCTCCTTCTAACGCTCAGAACTCTACCAGCAGCAAATTTGAATTTCCATAGATAGAGAACTTTACTAATTGGCTTTTCTATGCATTTGAATGTTCCTGTAAAGTGCCCTGAGGCAACTTTGTTGTAATTTTGCACTATATAAATAAACTGAATTGAACTGAATCAATTAAACTTTTTAAGGAGGTTTTTTGGGCCGCCCAGATAATAAAGAATTACAAGAGTCCAGTCTACAATTGAAAAATGCATGCACCACTTTTTTAAATTATTTCCAAGCTAACTAATGTTTTAACTTAATTAAACTACATGTAACTGTAATGTACAGTCACATTTTATTTTTTTACATTTTGATTGTCACATTTTATAGCCACACATTCCACGTCTGGGATTATTGAACATTTGCTGCTAATTAAAGCAAAATCCAGAATTAATAAGCTTTTTATTCACAGCCTTAAATATCTCGTGACAAGTACATTAAAATACATATTTATCCTGATTATAAAACATTTTAAATGTTCATGTTTACTGCTGTGAGCAGCACGGTGGTGCAACTGGTAGAGCTGCTGCCTCTCAGCGAGCAGGTCCCTGGTTCAAACCCCGGTCCAGGGGCCTTTCTGGGTGGAGTTTGCATGTTCTCTCCGTGCATGCGTGGGTTTTCTCCGGGTACTCCGGTTTCCTCCCACAGACCAAAAACATGCATGTTAGGCTGATTGGTAACTCTGAATTGTCCCTAGGTGTGAATGACAGTGTGAATGGTTGTTTGTCTCCTGATGCATGCTCAATAATCCAGGTAGAAAAATCCAAGTAAGTTCAATCTGGTCCTCTGGATATTCAAAAAAAAAAAACAAAGCAAAAAAAAAAAAAAAAAATGTAGAAACGTTTCGTCTCTCATCCAAGAGACTTCCTCAGTCTGAGCTGCTGTTTTCAGCTCAGTCTCTTAAATAGCACCTTGTGCTTGTTGTTTGTCTCGTTTGTCTCTATGTGTCCCTGTGATGGACTTGCGACCCGTCCAGGGTGTACCCCGTCCCTCGCACAGTGATTGCTGGACATGGGCACCGGCGACCCCCGTGACCCAAAATGGAACAAACGGGTAAAGAAAATGGATGGATGGATGGAAGTATTTCAATTCAATTCAGTTTATTTATATAGCGCCAAATCACAACAAAGTTGTTTCAGGGCACTTTACAGGAACATTCACATAAAAGCCCATTAGTAAAGTTCTCTATCTAAGGAATCAGAATATAGACATAAAAACAATGCAGATAATAAATATAATGACTAACCAGTGTGAAGCAAACAAGTTCACAACACAGATCCTCTGGTGTTAAAAGCTACTGAATAGTAGTGAGTTTTTAAACGGGATTTGAAAACCGAGAGGGAGGGGGCCTGTCTGACAAGCAGAGGTAACTCGTTCCAAAGTCTTGGTCCTGCTACAGAGAAGGCCCTGTCACCTCTGCGCTTAAGACGAGTTCCTGGAACTGTGAGGAGCAACTGGTCCGCTGACCTCAGGGAGCGTGGTGGGACATACGGTTGTAGCAGATCAGAGAGATCGGGGGGCGCGACACTGTTCAGCGATTTGTAGACATACAGGAGTATTTTGAACTGGATTCGAAAGTGAACTGGTAACCAGTGCAGTGAGGCCAAAACTGGTGTAATGTGCTCTCTTTTGCCTGTACTGGTTAAAAATCGGGCTGCTGCATTCTGGACCAGTTGTAGTCGTGCAATGGAGGTCTGACTGATACCAAACAGGAGTGAATTGCAGTAATCAAGCCTAGATGTCATGAATGCATGTATTACTGTCTCCAGGTTATTTCTGGACAATATGGGCTTCAGTTTAGACAGCCGCCTCAGTTGGAAGAAGCATGATTTAACAATCATATTTACATGATTGTTAAGTTTCAGGGAAGGGTCCATTATCACGCCCAGATTAGTGACTCTTTGTTTTTCTGACAGGGTTAGAGCGGAGAGGTCGATGCAGTGGTTTGTGATCGTGTCGTTGGGAGGGAACAACATGACTTCAGACTTCTTTTCATTGAAACTTAAGAAGTTTAAATCCATCCAGTCCATGATGTCAGCCAGGCAGTCGAGCAGAGGTTGAATAGAGCATGTACCATTGTGTCTTAGGGGGAAATAAATGTGACAGTCATCGGCGTAGAAGTGGAAGGGCATGTTGTGTTTCCGTAAAATGGCATCAAGTGGCAGCAGGTATAAAGAGAATAGGAGGGGACCCAGTATGGACCCCTGCCGAACCCCCCATTTAAGCTCTGCCGCTGCAGAACTAAAATCCTTGATGGAGACACAAAAGGATCTGTCAGTGAGGTAAGATCTGAACCACTTGAGGGCTGATCCTGTGACGCCCACCCACTGCTCCAACCTAGCAATGAGGATCTCATGGTCGATGGTGTCAAAGGCGGCTGTGAGGTCCAACAGGACAAGCAGCACAGAATCACCGGTATCTGTGAATCTGAAGATGTCGTTAAAGACCTTCAGCAGGGCAGTTTCAGTGCTGTGGAGAGGTTTAAAGCCAGATTGGAATAGCTCTAGGATAGCGTGATCCTCCAGGAAGCACTTCAACTGGGACTCGATTATTTTCTCCAGTACTTTAGAAACAAATGGGAGTTTGGAGACAGGCCAGAAGTTGGAAACGAGTGAGGGGTCAAGGTTTGTTTTTTTTCAGGAGAGGCTGGACAGCAGCATGTTTAAAGGATTTTGGCACCACGCCAGTGGATAAACTACTGTTTACTATATCAAGAAAGGACGGACCTAGAGTAGGAAAAACCTCCTTTAGTAGTCGAGGGGGGACCACATCAAAGGGGGAACCAGAAGGTTTCAAGCTGCACATGACCTGCTCTAGAGAAGATAGAGTGATGGGTTCAAAATGGTCAAAAGGAGCTACGGATTGAGGTGGGATGGATGGGTCATGAGTTGGAGGGGAAATGAGAGCCCTGGTGGTTGCAGTTTTTTCCACAAAGAAATGTAGGAAGTTCTCGCACAGCTCAGTCGAGGCTTCCAGAGGTGATGGTTCAGTGAGGTGGAGAACAGAGTTTAGGGTGGAGAAGAGGACACGTGGGTTGTGAGAGTTTGAGGTAATTATATCAGAGAAGAATTTGGATTTAGCAGCTTTTACTGCTTTCTGATAACAGCGCCAACTTTCTTTTAAGTATTTGAAAAGAGACCTGCAGCCTGTCTTTCCTCCACTTGCGCTCCGCCGTCCTACATTGCTGCCTAACGGCCTTGGTGACGTCACTCAACCACGGTTCTGCTCTCAGTTTTGATTTTTCGGTTTTAACAGGTGCAACATGATCCAGAGTCTTTAAGCAGACTGAGTTGAACTGGGATGTCATCTCCTCAGTGGTGGTGAGAAACACCGGGGGCTGAATTATCATTTCAGAGTTATAAACATCTGTGAAACGTGCGGCAGTGAAGTGGTTAATGGTCCGAGTCCTACGTGCAGGAACGCACAGCTTAGGAATTATATGGGGGAGGGTGAACTCAAACTGGACTGGCATGTGGTCTGAAAAAACATTATCACCAATAACAAGATTATTAACAGTCATATCATGAGTTAAAACAAGGTCCAGTGTATGTCCACACTCTTGGGTGGGACCGTTTACATGCTGAGTTAAATTAAATGAGTCCAATAAATCTAAAAAGTCCTTAACCAAGGGCTTCTCAGGACAGCACACGTGCAAATTAAAGTCCCCAATAATGAAAACACGATTATATTTTGGTGTGATTTCAGCCAAGAAGTCAGAAAACTCATTTATGAAATCCTTAGATCGAGGTGGGCGGTAGACGAGCGCGCATAACGTCGAAGGTGAATGTCCGAGTTCAAAGACGCTCAGCTCAAAGCTGGCGCAGGAAACTGGGATGGGCAGTTGTTTACAGTCAAAAGTTGATTTGAATATTGTTAATCCACCACCGCGCCAGCCTGATGGCCGCGGGGCGTTAAAACACAGACAGTTCGGTGGCAATAATTCCATCAAGGCACTGGACTCACCCGGAGACATCCAAATCTCTGTCATGCAGAGAAAGTCCAACTTGTGCTCTTGAAAGTAATCCCTGAGGATAAAAGTTTTGTTGGTAATAGATCTTGCGTTGACCAAACACAGCCGGATACTGTCCAAAGTGGACCCAGCAGCGGTGGAGAGAGCACGCGCCAGTGGCCGCAGATTTTCAATAACGGCCCCTCTGGGTCAGTCCGAGCTGCGCACCAGCTGACAACTCCTGTAGTTTACCTGGTCCGGGCACGCGGGAAGCTGGCGATGGAAACCATGACCACCAGCTAGAGAGAAAGATGCAACGCGCAGGGCTTTAAGCTTTACCAGCCGCCCAGCACGTTTTCCCCGGCGTCTGAAGCAATGTCTCCGAGCAGGGAGGTGAGGAGAGCAGCGGAGGTAAACTGGCACGTCCGCCAGCAGCTGGGGAAGAGGGAGGGGGTCCAGAGGTACGCTCATTATGATCCAAATAAACGACATCGGCGGCAGAAGATTGAAGATCCAGAAGCTGTTGTTGGTCATACACCAGCAGTGAGTTTATGTCCCAGATGAAAAACGAACAAAACACAAATAATCCGAACACCGTCAGCAGAGGTGGATTGCAAGCCAAGTACACGGGCGCCATCTTACCGGAAGTTTACTGCTGAGTGATGCTGCAAACTGTGCAAAGGCAAACGCTGAACAAATTAAGTCTGAAGCATAAATGTACCGTAATAACATAATGGAGAACATTGTGTTCTTTTGTTACAAAGCCATAAAGAGAGAAAAAAGTGTCAAACTTTTCTTAAGAAGTTTTTGTCAGTAAGGTTGTAACACATGTATTTTCACATTTCATGCAATTATTCATACAGTAAATTATGAAACTATTATGTATTTAACAGCACAGCTCTTATCATAGCTGTTCAACAGTTTATTTCCTTTAGTTGATCTTTCATCTGTTTTTTGATCAGCTTGTACTGATTTTTATTGTATTTCTGGCACAAAGACAAAGAATGACTTTTTGTTTGAGTCATTTCAAACCCTTTTCACTCATAACTGCCTGACTTTTAAATGTGATGACGGGACCATACGTCTGTTCATCCATCTGTAGGTTCTGTGCATTGATGAGGCCACAGCCAGCGTGGATCAGAAGACGGACAGACTTCTACAACAAACCATCAGAGAGAAGTTTCAGGACAAGACGGTGCTCACCATAGCCCACAGGTAAAATGTTTTAAAGTCTCTTTCCTGTCCTTCAGTTTGTCGGACAGTGAAGACATTCCTTCTTCCTCACCTTCATGTGGACATGTTAAAGACTTTCTTTGTTTGCTTCATCAGAATCAACACCATCATGGACTGTGACCGTGTACTTGTAATGCACTCTGGGAAAGTGGTGGAGTTTGACACCCCTGCTGCTCTTTGCCAAACTGACAAGTCAATCTTCCACAGACTGGTTGGTGAGCGGCTCGAGTGATGAGTCCAACAAGCGGGGGGGGGGGGGGGGGGGTCATTCACAACAAAGTTGTCTCAGGACACTTTACAGGAACATTCACATAAAACCAATTAGTAAAGTTTTCTATCTAAGGAATCCAGCAGACAAGTTGAGTCTTGGCTTCGTTGCAGTCTCCCACCCTGAGCAAGCACAGTGGCAACAGTGGAAAGAAAAACTCCCTTTTAAAAGGAAGAAACCTCCAGCAGAACCAGCTCAGGACAAGAGGCCATCTGCTTTGACCAGCTGGTTGAGAGGACATGAAGGAGAGACAGACGAACACAGAATGGTAGGTCCAGGTCCAGGTATAGGTCCAGGTGTATCTGAAAGACAAAAAACATGTTAAGCATAGAAAAAATAAATTACAAATACAAAACAGGTTGAGCAGAGTAAGTAAAGACAGTAGCAGAGTGAAAAGTGTGGTCAGTTTGTCCTCCAGCAGTCTAAGCCTATAGCAGCATAACTAAGGGACAGCTCAGGAAACCCAAGCCGACCCTAACTATAGGATTTATCAAAAAGGAAAGTCTTAAGCCTAGTTTTAAAACTGGATAATGTGTCAGCCTCACGGACAGAGATTGGAAGTTGGTTCCACAAGAGAGGAGCCTGATAACTGAAATATCTGCCTCCCATTCTGTTTTTGTAAACTCTAGGAACCACAAGTAAACCTGCAGTCTGAGAGCGAAGTGCTCTGTTAGGAAAATATGGAACAATAAGATCTGTAATATAAGATGGAGCTAGGTTGTTAAGAGCTTTGTAGGTTAGAAGTAAGATTTTGAATTCTATTCTGGATTTGACAGGGAGCCAATGAAGAGAAACTAAAACTGGAGAAATATGATCTCTCCCAGTAACTCCAGTTAAGACTCTGGCAGCAGCATTTTGGATCAACTGAAGACGTTTTAAAGAAGTATTTGGACACCCAGATAATAAACCATTGCAATAGTCCAGTCTAGACATGACAAATGCATGAACCAGTTTTTCTGCATCATCTTTAGATCAGATGTTTCTAATGTTAGTGATATTACGCAGGTGGAAGAAGGAGGTTCTAGTAACGTTTTTAATGTGGGAGATAAAAGACATGTACTGATCAAAAATAACACCAAGATTTTTAACATTAGAGCTGGAGGACAGATTAATGCCATCTAAGGAGGGAGAAAGACTGAAACATTCATTCCTAAGGTGCTCAGGTCCAAAAACCAAAACCTCAGTCTTGTCTGTTCAACAGGAGAAAATTAAGGGTCATCCAGGTTTTTATGTCTTTAAGACATGCTTGTAGTCTAAGTAGCTGATTGTATTCATTGGGTTTAATGGACAAATATAATTGTGTGTCATCAGCATAACAATGAAAATTTATCCCATGCTGTTTAATAATTTTACCTAATGGAAGCATATATAAAGTAAAGAGTATTGGCCCAAGCAATGAGCCCTGAGGAACTCCATGACTAACTTTGGTGTATGAAGAAGATTTATTATTTACATTTACAAACTGGAATCTATCAGATATGATTTAAACCATTTTAGAGCTGTTCCTGTAATCCCAACATCATATTCAAGCCTCTGTAGTAAAATATTGTGATCAACTGTATCAAATGCAGCACTGAGGTCTAACAGGACCAGTATAGACACAAGTCCATTGTCTGAGGCCATGAGAATATCATTAGTTACTTTTACTAGTGCTGTTTCTGTGCTATGATGAGCTCTAAATCCTGACTGAAACTCTTCAAACAGATTATTTCTTTGTAGATGTTCACGCAACTGACCTGCAACTATTTTCTCTAGAATTTTTGAGATGAAAGTTAGATTAGATATAGGTCTATAGTTGGCCAGAATTTCTGAATCAAGGTCAGACTTCTTAAGTAAAGGTTTAATTACAGCAACCTTAAAGTGCTGTGGTACATAACCATCCATTAAAGACTAATTAAGTAGTTCCAAAATGTGAACATTAATTAGTGGAAATACCTCTTTAAACAGTCTGGTTGGGTTGGGATCTAGCAGACATGTGGATGGTTTGGATGAGGTTTTTATTTTTGACAATTCAGAGCTCAACAGGACAAAAACTGTCCAAACATAAACCATACTTTGTAAACTTGACCACAGAACTGGAGAATGTGTTCAATACAGTGGCACATGTGAACAAACAGCCTCAAAGGTTTTTATATTTGTGAAGATTCATTTTCTGAATATTTTTGTTGTTATTGGGAGTGGGGGGGATGTCTTAGAGTATGACGTCTGTAAGACTGAAGCCTTTTGGATAAAAGACGAAACGTTTCAACAAAGAAGAATCCGTCCAGAGTTGTTTTTGGAACTGTAAAAACTGATCTCTTCCAATAAATAAACTTTGTTACTACTGTCCTGCTCATATTGGGTCACATTTTTATCACACCACTGAAAGGCTAAGGTGTACGATAACATTTTTGTCTGTATATATGTGTGTTCACGTCTCTGACTGTTAGCAAAATAGTCCATAAACTCCTCATCAATCTTAATGAACCCCAGAAATGTATTAGATGAACATCTACAACTGATTAAATTTTTGAATCAATCAATTCAAGATGTCTGCTACAGCTAATCAAAATTTATAAAACAATGATTTTAACAGTCAGTTTTAAAGACATGTGCATATCTAAAGACATTTATATATATATAAATATATATATATATATACATACAAATATATATATATATATATATATATATATACATACAAATATATATATATAATAATATATATATACATATATATATTATTATATATATGTATGTAAGTATGTATATATATATATATATATACAGGTCCTTCTCAAAAATTAGCATATTGTATGCTAATTTTTTGGGACAGGCATTATGGGTTTTCATGAGCTGTATGCCATAATCATCAGTATTAAAACAATTAAAGACCTGAAATATTTCAGTTGGTGTGCAATGAATCTGAAATAGATGAAAGTTTCATTTTTATCATTACATTATGGAAAATAATGACCTTTATCACAATATGCTAATTTTTTGAGAAGGACCTGTATATATATATATATATATATATATATATATATATATATACATATATATATATTATATTATTAATATTATATATTATATAATTATATATTATATTATTAATATTATATATATATTATACTGGGCTAAAATTTGATGTACCTGAGGCTCATTCACAACACATGCTCTACTACATTAAATGGTGAAAATTATTATGCTAGTCATTTACAACACATTCTCTGAGCACTAACACATCTCAAAAAATCTCATATGAGATTGTGCATCTCAGACAGAGGCTGGTCCACCCTAAGGACAGAACACCCATACACAAACAGAGTGGTGTAGTGTATGTGGTCCAGTGCAGCGAGGACTGTCCAGACCTCTACATTGGAGAAACTAAACACTTCACAGACGCATGGCTCAACACAGGAGAGCCACCTCCTCAGGACAAGACTCAGCTGTTCACCTCCACCTCACAGAGAAGGGACACTCTTTTGAGGTCCAAAATGTGCACATTTTGGACCGAGAACACAGATGGTTTGAGAGGGGGGTGAAGGAAGCAATTTATGTAAAAAGAGAAAAACCATCTCTTAACAGAGGAGGAGGCCTCAGATTTCAACTTTCAAAAACATATAATGCAACTTTAAAACAGATTCTCAGCCGGTTTTCACATCTGATGGGAACAGAGGGGCCTCGACTGTGAATTAGAGGAACGAAGACCTTAAGAAACCCGAACTGTTAAGATGTTGAGGTGTGATTTTTCAATCTATATATGTGGGAGTGGTGGCGCAGAGGTTAGAGAAAGTGGGTCTGTGATTGGAAGATCGCCGGTTCAAGCCCCGACAACATCAAAAATGTGGGTGGGGTAGGTGAAGCACCCTCACCTGCCCCCACCCCCATTCACCCCACCCTGGGCCCATGAGCAAGGCCCTTAACCCCCATCTGCTCCCTAAACAGATCTCTTGAAAAAATGAGTTCTCGTGGCTCAATGAGACTACCTGGATAAATAAAGGGTAAATGAAAAAAAATGTGTATCTCAGCCGTATAACCTGATTCTTATAACCTGATTCTTATAACCTGAATCTTATAACCTGAATCTTATAACCTGAATCTTATAACCTGAATCTTATAACCTGATTCTTATAACCTGAATCTTATAACCTGATTCTTATAACCTGATTCTTATAACCTGAATCTTATAACCTGAATCTCTCACTCTCTGCTCTTTGAATTGAGAAAGCTCCTCGGATGAGGAGCGAAACGTCTTCTGTTACCAATAAAGTCCAGCTGTTTTTGTATTGAACGTTTTTGAATTGATCATGTCCTGGATGACTGAGGATGTTCACCAGCAGATTGTGCATCTTTGCCACTCTCCCATGAAGCTGAAGCTGGTGAAGAACTCTGACAACAGTTGCTGTATGCTGAGTCTCTCATCTCACCTGCTTGAAGCTCGTAACTTCAGAGGGGACACAGGCGTCTTCGTGGTCTCTTACGATTCTCATTCTTCCACAGTCACTGAGTTTGTGAGGACGGCCTGCTCTTGGTAGATTTGCACATGTCCCGTATTCCTTCCATTCCTTGCTGATGAATTTAACAGAACTCCTGGGAATATTTAGTCTTGGAAATCATTTTATATCCATCCCCTCACTTGTACTTTCAATAATCTTTTCTCTGAATTGAATTAGGACAGTCACATTGGTGGGGTGACTATTTATGCAGTCACTTATTTGATATTTCATATTTAGTTGGAAATACTCTAACATTATGATATCACTTTGACATGGAAGAAGGACAATATAAATTGACCTTGATTGATTCAATTCAATTCAGCTTGTTTATAAAGCACCAAATCACAACAAAGTTGTCTCAGGGCACTTTACAGGAACATTCACATTCACATAAAACCCAGTTAGTAAAGTTCTCTAAGGAATCCAGCAGACAAGTTGAATCTTGGCTTCGTTGCAGTCTCCCATCCTGAGCAAGCACAGTGGAGACAGTGGAAAGAAAAACTCTTTTAAAAGGAAGAAACCTCCATCAGAACCAGACTCAGGACAAGAGGCCATCTGCTTTGACCGGCTGGTTGAGAGGACAGGAAGGAGAGACAGACGAACACAGACTGACAGGTATAGGTCCAGGTCCAGGTATAGGTCCAGGTGAACCTGAAAGACAAAAAACACATGTTAAGGATAGAAAAAATAAATTACAAATACAAAACAGGTTGAGCCGAGTAAGTAAAGACAGTAGTATAGTGAAGAAATGTGGTGTTTGTCCTCCAGCAGTCTAAACCTGTATATAGTGATGGCATTCCAAGGAGGTGAATACTCTTTTTAGTATCTCGTTCCACCAGAACCCCACTCTCTGACCCCTTCGCCCCTCAGGCTCCGGCCTGTCATGACCGCCATCTCCATCACCGTCCATCTGCCTGCACAGTCTGAACTCTGCCTAACAGTTCGCTTCCGCAGGGAACTTGGAATGTTCTGTGTCTGCCAGACCCGGTTCTGGAGGACAGTCATTGTCTGTTGCTGCGGTCGTTATTATCATCACGCTGCAAACAGGACCACATTGCTAAAAGGACCGCACTAACAAGACCAAGCTGTTAACAGAACCACACTGCAAACAGGACCTTCATACATCTCCTCCTACATGTCTCTGCGTGAGTGCAGCTACAGCGTGCGCTCTCAGGACATTATTACCTGCAGTGTTCCCTCAATGAGGACTGAACTAGACAAAACGACCTTCTCCTACTCCGCTCCTGTTTCCTGGAATATCTTACAAAAAGATCTGAATCTCTCGACCTTGACCTCTCTAAGTAGCTTCAAACATCTGTTAAGTTCATGGCAAAAAACCAATGCAGACATGTTCCTGTTTTTAGTTTTCTACACCGTTTTATAATCTAGCTGGGTTTTTTTCTGTTGTTTTTTTTTGTCTACTTTTTCCTTTTGACTGTTCGTTTGGTTGCCATTTTATTTTAATTTGTAAAAATAATAATAATAATTACATTTGTATGCCTCTTTTACGATTGTCTATGATTGTCTATTGTTGTCATCATTCTTAGTTGAAATCAGGTCTCTCTTGTAAAAGAGTCCTCGAGGCTCAATGGGACTAACCTGTAGAAATAAAGGTTGAATGAATGAAAAAAAAAAAGCACATTTATTTAAGCTAAGCAAATATTGCTTAACTTTTATATTAATAACATATAGATCAAAAAAATATATATAAAAAAGTCATATTAGCCATCAGCTGCCATGTTTTATTAATACAAATTTCATTTTATTTACATTTGTAAATATATGATGTGTATATTTCTCTTTTTTTATTAAGGGTGAATAAGCACTGAAGTGCTGTTTTTACAGTTTGGCTTTTTGTGTTGTCACGCCTCTTATAGCTCAGGAAAAAAGTGTCGACCTGCGTCTCAGTGGGGAAGTGTCTTCGTCTTTGGTTGCAAACATTGAAAAATGAAGATGAGACCTGCTACGAAAGCGTTTGCAGACATGTGAGTGAGGGCGTCCAGCTTTCTTTAGAGCTCAGATTGACAGAAGCAAACATCGTTAAAAGTTGAAACTGGATACTGAAAGTTGAACTTCACATGACTGAGATGGTATTTTGGAAATCTTAAATGGCTTTTATGCAAACAGCTAAAGATTTTTTAAGATTTTACTTCAGAAAGTTCAACTTAGTCATGTTGTCACACCTTTTTATTTCTGAGCTGTCTAACCTTCTGATTTTTTGCTAACACTTGCTTGCAGGACTTCAGTTTTTTCTCCAGATCTCCTCAGAGGGCAGGAAGTGCACATTGGGTCGAACTTAAGTTCGAGCGCTGAACTTACTCTTCCAACCAAGAGGTGAAGTGGTTCTTTAACTTGTTCCATCTCCTCCATAAATCACTGTACACTCTAGAACTGACTCGTGATGACCAAAACTTCTGACACTTATTTTTACCCAGGGCAACCTATATTTTTGCGTGACTGTTTAAATCTCAACTCTACATTTCTGTCTTTTTTAATTCGGTTCAGTTTATTTATATAAAATCACAACAGAAGTTGTGTCAGGGCATCAATGTACTGCATGGGAGCGAGAGACACGAGTGTGTGGTTACCATGGTGACCCTAATGAGCCACTGGCAGCATCTTTGTCTTGGTTCTTTTTACACCTCTCGTACAGTTTAGACATCAGAACATCGGCCTTTTGTCGCAGCGCATTGTTGCAAATTACTGATGGAGCTTCGCAGCTCAAAGTTCATGTTTGTTGGGATTTCATGCAGCTGCTGCACTGAAACCCTGAACTCTTTAGAACTCTTCTGGTCTACAAGTATCTGATTTTAGTTCCAGGTGTTTTATTTATCTAAACTTGGAAGGAACTTGAGACACGAACATTCTTAGGTTTTCAAGAAGAGGTCAAGTTGACGGAGTCTTCTAAAGATTTGATCTGTTTGATGGAAAAGAATCTGCGTCGTGTGCACGTCCTCCAGCGTGTAGCTGCAGAAGATGTGCCTTCAGTGCTTTTGTTGACTGAGCTGCAGGTTTGTCCCTTCAGAATGGATTCATCAGAGCAGGTGTAAACGGAGCCGAGTTCTTTCTTCCAGTCAGATGCACAGTTTCTGTGAGCAGAGTGAGTCACGGGTGACGCCCGCCGCTCCCTTGGCTCAGGTCAACGTTTTTCTCACGTTAACTCTTATCGTGTTGTCACGGGGAGTGTTTGGGCCTCATTCCTGAATATCACAAAACGATTGTAACCCCGCCTATCGAGTGTGTGTGCACACACACGTGGAACCTGTTGGTCTGCTTCACCTGCAGTTTTCATCCACCTGAGCTGCTCTCCTCCTCTCAGAGCCGACTGCACAGCTGTCAGCTCACACCGATCCTCTGCAGCCGCACGTTGATCCTGGGATGTCCGCTCCGACCGCCTGATGGCTTCTGAGGTGGGTTGTTGGTTCTGAGGTGGGTTTTTGCTCCTGAGGTGGGTTTTTGCTCCTGAGGTGGGTTTTTGCTTCTGAGGTGGGTTTTTGCTCCTGAGGTGGGTTTTTGCTCCTGAGGTGGGTTTTTGCTTCTGAGGTGAACCTTTCTTCTGGTCTGCTGCTGGCTCTTTAATGCTCGGCCCATCGAGAGTTGCTCTGCAGCTTTTCTGTCAAACCAGCAGCTGTGCACTGTGTCCTGTGCGTCGACCTGTTTACACGTGTTTGTTCTGAACACTCGCAGTTTAAATCAAACGAGACCGATTTTAAAATGTTTTGATGTAAGGAATCCAACAAGGATCTGTTTTTGGTTTTCCATTAGGAAGCAAAACATTTCTTGTGTGTGCACTCCGCCTCACCTCATGTCTCTAATATGTAACACTTTAAGTAGTAAACCTGCAGCTTTCTGCGCTCAGTTATCTTGTATACAAAAAATCTGATTATTTACGACACAATCAGATCAAATCTCAACATTTAAATCAGGTTTTGTTAAATGTGAACTAAAACCACATTCAGGGTTTGATCAGTTAAACACGTTTACGTTCTCCTAAATACGTTTTCATGAAAGCATTATGAAATTAGGAAATATGAAAACACGAAAGAAATTTGTAAAAGTTTCATAAAAACATGCTGATTCTCCAACATGTTTTTAAATTTGACCAGTTTTGTTTTCAGTTAAATAAAATAAATGTTCAATAATCGACACAGCTTTTAATTGAACTTAAAATGAATATTTATTTTGGGACTTCTTATTACTAATACTATAAATAACTTTGCAGTAACGACGTATTTAAAGGACTTAATCATGATAAATAGTAACTTGTTGTGTTTACATGAATCAGTCCATGACGACGGCACAATAGATCTCACATGATCGTGTGAACGTACAGATTAAACGTGTACTTCTCGGAGTAACGTGCACATGTTTACACAGAGCTGTGCAAAAGTCTTCAGTCAGTCCTCATCTGTTTTACTTTCAAGAATTTTCTGGATTTTCTTGTAATCTTTTATCTTTAATCTTTTAGCTTCTTGAAGTTTATTGAGCATGCATCAGGATATTTCTTGAAGTTTTGTTTTTGTCTTCGACTGCTTCAGTGCTGTCCTATGAATCATTTAATGATTTACTTTAAAAATGTGCAAGTTGCTCTTAAAAATTCTGATATAAGTGGAGAAGTGGAGGTCAAAATCTTTGGCGGACCCAAAACTAAAACTCTTCAGCAGATTAACCCTTCAGTCCTTTAAGAAACAGAACGGTCTCACAAAAACCTGACGGACCTGAAGGTCTCATCCTAACTGGCGGTGAACCCGTACACCCCCACAAACAACAAACAACAAAGACTGAAGCACTGTGAACATTTCACAATTCATCCAGTTTCTTTTACCCACTTCTGTTCGGGTCGTGTTCGACTGGTGCCTGTCACTGCGCAGGAGGCGGGGGACACCCTGGACAGGTCACATCACAGCTCACAGGGACGAGTTCGAGTTACCAAGAAACCTAGCATGCACATTTTTGGTCTTTGGGAGAAAACCAGAGTACCTGGAGAAATAACACAGGAAGAACATGCAAACTCCACACAGAAGGACCCCTGGACTGGAGGAGAACCTGCGACCTCCTGGACTGGAGGAGCACCTGCGACCTCCTGGACTGGAGGAGCACCTGCGACTTCCTGGACTGGAGGAGAACCTGCGACCTCCTGGACTGGAGGAGCACCTGCGACCTCCTGGACTGGAGGAGAACCTGCGACCTCCTGGACTGGAGGAGAACCTGCGACCTCCTGGACTGGAGGAGAACCTGCGACCTCCTGGACTGGAGGAGAACCTGTGACCTCCTGGACTGGAGGAGAACCTGCGACCTCCTGGACTGGAGGAGCACCTGCGACCTCCTGCACTGGAGGAGCACCTGCGACCTCCTGCACTGGAGGAGCACCTGTGACCTCCTGGACTGGAGGAGAACCAGCGACCTCCTGGACTGGAGGAGCACCTGTGACCTCCTGGACTGGAGGAGAACCTGCGACCTCCTGGACTGGAGGAGAACCTGCGACCTCCATGCTGTAGCTCTTAACACCGCTTTGCCATGCCGCCCAAACTTTTGGCGTCCTCCTACGTTTTGGTTTATTTGTTTGCAACCATTTCCTATTTCACTCATGAAACATTGAAAAAAGAGATTTTTCCTCAGTCGTGTGATTTAAATTACAGAATGTTCTTTAATCTCTCTTTGTGTGCGTGTCCGTAGAACCAGCAAGTATTTGGTGATGAGGAGTAAAAGAGCAATTCTTTTTGTTCTGGCTCGTCTTGCACTTCATTAATGAGGGTCAAACCCCATAAATCCTCTGAAGGTCTGTCACTTTTCTTCAGGACTTTGTACTAGAAAGTGGTGGGTAAAGTTTCTTTGACCTTGTTTGCTCACACAAAAATAGCAATTGTTCCGACTTCTGGATGAACCGGTTTCCACCGTGAAGCTAGAACAGCCCAAATACCTGACGGACGTGTCTGCTGAGTTTCCTGGGTGTCAGCTCTCCGAGCACAAACCGTCCAGGACAAAACTGCCCCGCCCGTCCTTATTAACAACACTTGTTCGTGTCATTTTAATTACATAATTATAAAGATGAACATACGATGGTGATCTTGAAGGCATTACATCACCATCGGAGACATAAATAAATAAAAAAATAAATATATATATATATATATAAAAACAGCAGCTGCTCTTCACTTTGCCCAGTCCATACAAATCCTAATTGTGAACTGTCAGTTGTATTATGATGGTTTAAAAATATTGTATTTACTGTTTTCTTACTTGATTTAAAGAAAAAAAATAATTTAATGTCTTCTTTTCCCGAACTGATGCAGTTAAAGAAAAATAAGTGCTGCTGTAACAGAGCTGTTTTTCATTAAAAATGTATCATAGGTTCAATAAAAAACAATATGACCAGAGAAATAAAAAAAAAACATGAATAACATGGAAATAACAAATAAATATTTACATCACATTACAAAACACAAACAGGAAAAGTAGGAGAAAAGGGTTCAATTGTACAAATGTTGTTATTTCATTTTTATATTAGGTTCATTGTATAAAAATAAATCTAGATATCTGAATTTGAATTAAAGTGTATCTTTTATTATTTACACCAACTTTTGCCAGAAATGTTTTTTTTCTACTTCCAATATCGATGTTTTAATTTTTAAACCTTAGAATATTCAAATAACCATTAATCCCTTAAACATTTTGGTTTTCAATCTCCTCCACTTTAACAATATTATTTTTATTCCACTTTAACAACATTATTATTTTTATTTGTTTTTAAAACTTTAAATGGTCTTGCTCCATCCTTCCTCTCTGAGCTGCTTCACCCATTCTCTCCGGCTCGGTGCCTCAGATCAGCTGATCAGCTGCTCCTGGAGGTGCCGAGGTCCAAGCGGAGGCTCAGAGGGGACAGAGCTTTCTCTGTTGCTGCTCCAAGACTGTGGAACGATCTCCCTCTTCCCATCAGACGAGTCCCTTCACTGTTCAGCTTTAAAACTCTTTTAAAAACACATTTTTACTCCCTGGATTTTAACACACACTGAATTTACTCTGCACCGTTTTTATTGATCCTGATGTTTTGGCAGCTGTTTTGTGTGTTTAAATGTTCTTGATTTTATATGTACAGCGCTTTGTTGCAGCTGTGGTTGTTTTAAAGGGCTTTATAAATAAAGTATTATTATTATTGCCATTTATAAAAGCCACATTTTCCAACTTAATTCCCAAAATGGGTTTATAAACTCTTGTCTTAATTTAGCAGCAGCAAGGAGAGCTTTACATTCAGAATTTTTGTAATTCATCAAATCAAACTATATACCATACCATACCAATCACGTGCTACCAAAACTGCTTTCACTACAGGACACCCAATATATGAGAATAAGTGTTAATTTTCTTATAAGATGGAGTTCATTTTAGTGTCCTTTTAGCACAGTTTGGCGTTTGTTTAGCGTATATCTTAGATTATTTTTTACTGTTTCTTGGTATACTTTATATTTTGCTATTTTTGGGTGTATCTGGGACCTTGAGTACATAATTTCATTCCACCTCATGTGCCACATGTGGTGGAAATGACAATAAAATTGACTTGAACTTATAATCTTTTTAATATATGATGGAGCTTGATTGCTGAGAAATTTGTATGCAAGAAGTAAGATTTTAAACTTTATTCTGAATTTGACAGGGAGCCAAAAGAGAAGCTAAAACTGGAGAAACATGATCTCTCCCAGCTCTCATCAGACCTCTAGAAGCAGCGATCATCTGAAGCCTGCAGCATACTTCACCACTTGCTCCCCACGAGATCAGAGGCTTCCCTCCCTCCCTCTCCGCTTTGCTTTGCTGCTCTGTCTGTCTGTGAAATTGCTGTGAGACTCTCTTGCATTTCTTCCAAACCATAATTATGGACTTGTTTTTTGACCAGTTGGTCCCTCATCTCAATTTACAACATTTCTTCAAGAGAAGACAGGCTTTGGGCGAGCCGATTTACCCTGTTGGCACGTATGCAGCTGGATATCTCATCGACTGGAAAACTTGATCTGCTGCCATCTGTGGATTTTAAGGACGCATATTTAATTGGATTTTTGATAATTGGTTCCTGCTTTTTGGATTCAGCTGGTGCTGGTTTTATCTACAATCAAGGAAGTCGTCAGCAGCAAATTTGGACCCGATCACGCTGCTTGCCTTTATTGGGTTCATGTCTGGAGTACCCGGACTCAAATGCTTTGGGCTGAATGGATCAGATCTTGGGGATTTTTACTCAGATACGTTTCCATCGGTGTTGGCCATGTTAATTTGGACATTTCAGAACCGAGTGGACCGACACAGACTCAAGGTTGATGTCATTAAGTTCTACCTGTCCCCAAAACAACTGTGTGTTTATCTAAATTTTGGTCGCCATGGTTGTCCTTAAAGGCCACCTTATCTAAAGTCGCCTGGAGAAAATGTGATCTGACACTCACCACCCCCTCCCTGAGGAATTTCCAACTGATAACCAGACGAACCAGCTGAATAAACTTTGTGTCATCATTTCAGGACTCTTGGATTCTCACAGAGGTTATTCTTGGCCATTCCTCAACATACCTCGAGAATGTTTATGGATCTCACCGGAGGACATTGACTGATTACAGTGACCTCGAGAGCATCTATAAGCGTTATTGACCGCTCTCGTCTCTTCCTTCTTCCTGCTCTGCAGAATGTCTACGTAAATATGTGCTTGTTTGTGCAAAGTGTTTTTTCAATATTATGGGTTTTTCTCAGCCAAGAAAAAAGTCTGATAGGAATTTTTTTTTCGCCTCCAACTCCTACATGTGTCCAGTTAACCACTGTTTTTTTTTGTCTGTCCAAACAGGTCTCACTTGTAAATGAGTCTTCGAGGCTCAATGTGATTTATCTGTTTAGATAAAGGTTGAATGAATGAATGAATGAATACTGATAAGAAGTAATATTTGACGATTGGTCCAAACAAGCCTTTGTTTCTATTGTGTACTTCAAGAGATTGAATGTAGTAGTCACAGGCATCAGCTCGTTTTTTTGAAGATTAACCTTATAGCCAGATATTCTCCCAAATTTTGAAGCAAAGTAATTCAAGAATGCTAATGAGAGGATCTGATATATACAAAAGCATGTCATCGGCATATAAAGAAACGTAATTTAAACATGGGGGCGACTGCCAAGGTGGGGAGATAAGCTGGCTGGTATGATGTGAGTGAAGGAGGGCAACAAAATATTGTGTAGAATACAGTCGGGGACATGAAACTAAGCCTTTATTTAAAAAAAAACTGGCAGTAAAGTATTCCTGCATGGCTTGCTGGTAACTTGGTTGCAAACAATTAAGATGAAAACATCTGCTAAGTTCCTGCAAAACCAATACAGATATGTTCTTGTTTTTAGTTTTCTACATCACCTTACAACCTGGCTGGGGTTTTTTTTTGGTTACTTTCTAAAAAATACCATTTTATTATTCACTTGTTATTCTCAATTTGATTGCATCCTTTATGATTGTCTACAGTTGTCTTTGTTGTCATCACTCTTTGTTAAAACCAGGTCTCTCTTGTAAATGAGTCCCCGAGACTCAGTGGGATTAACCTGTATAAATAAAGGTTGAATTAAAAAAAAAAGAGACTGCAATTGAAAACCAGACAAGTTTCTTGAAATTTTGAGTTGTCAACTAATTTCTGGGAGTTATTTCCTTTGGCCACAACAACCTTCATCGATTGAAAGGTTTTTCAGTGTTCCCCTTTTGTCTCATGTATCACTGATGTGTTTTGTCCTCATAATGTCATTTAAGGACTTGCTGTTTAATGACTTTTATTTCTTCTTGCAGGCTTAATCAAGACAAACAAACCAACATCAAACATGGTATAGAACAAATAGTTCTTTGAACTATTTTTAATACAGTAGCACTCAAGTTTCAGCTTCTTAGTTCATGTCCTGTGGATGAATGTGTTTGTTGTAAACACTTTGTGAACTGTTTTGTGTGCAGCCAACACACCGCAGAGGAAGGAGCCTCTCTGAGGCCTTGACCCTGGAAGAATCTGAGGAGGATGGACTGGTCATTTCCAGCTTTAACAGCGCCTCAAACATTCAGGACCTGAAGGAAGGTATGAGCTCTAACTTTGATTTATCCATTTTCCATTATTGTTTTTTCTAAACATCAGACATGTTTTAACTTTTACATCGGAGTCCATGTGGGTCACAATAGCTTAAGTTGATAGAATTTTTGTATCTGTCCACCCTATTTATTTATTTATGTACCATTTTTTGCTGCTGTACGTTTATTCTTTCGTAGAGGGTGTAAATACCTTATTGGAAGTATACAGACGTGGATTAATTTGTTAGCACCTTTACAAAGTTAAATGCTGTTGTGACTGGAACCTAAAAGCTCCAGTTTTGTCTCATCAGTCCCAGAAACATCCATCCATCCATTCTATTTTACCGCTTTTCCCTTTTCGGGTCACGGGGGTCACTGGTGCCCATATCCAGCAGTCTGTGTGAGAGGCAGGTACACCTGGACAGTTCTATCACAAGGACACATAGAGACAAACGAGACAAACAACCTCTCACTCTCACCTATGAATAATTTAGAGTTACCAATCAGTCTAACATTCATGTTTTTGGTCTGTGAGAGGAAAAAGGAATACCTGAAGAAAACCCACGCATGCACAAATAGAACATACAAACTCCACTCAGAATAGCCCCCCAGATGGGATTCGATCCAGCGACCTTCTTGCTGAGAGGCGGCAGCTCTACCAACTGCGCCTCCGTGTTGCCCCAGTCCCAGAAACATCTCCAAGAAAATTTGGTTCTTGTACACATGTATTTTGGAGATTGTCTGTCTGGCCTTAAATGTTTTTCTGCCCGTAGTGGAATTACCTGCGTCTTGTTTTTCTTGGAGGCTATTATGATTCAAAATGTGACATAAATCAGAAAGTGATGCACTTTGACCGTGGAGATCAACTTGAATGTTTTGGGATGATTTTCTTGGCTCTTTTTCTACCATTTGCACTATCCTTCTGATCAACCTAGAGCTACATTTTTTGCATCCACATCCTGGGAGGTTGACTACAGTTCCATGAACCTTATACATTTGTATAATGATGTATGTGGTTAAAAGAACTTGGAAGAACTTGGACGTGTATGAGGACCGCAGGACAGTGCTGAGATGTGCTATAGGAGTGACGGATAGCTTTAAGGTGGAGGTGGGATTGCTCTGAGCCTCTTCTTGTTTGCTCTGGTGATGGAACGACTAACAGATGAGGTCAGGCAGGAATCCCCATGGTTCTATGATGTTTGCAGATGACATTGTGATCTGTGGTGAGAACAAGGAGCAGGTGGAAGAGAACCTGGAGAGGTGGAGGTATGCACTGAAAGAAGAGGAATGAAAGTCAGCCGTAGTAAGACAGAGTACATGTGTGTGAATGAGAGGGAGGCTGGTGGAACAGTGAGGCTACAAGGAGCAGAGGTCACAAAGGTGCAGGACTTCAAGTACTTGGGATCCACTGTCCAGGAACATGGGGGGTGTGGTAAAAAGGTGAAGAGAGTCCAGGCAGGATGGAGTGGATGGAGAAAAGTTTCAGGAGTGATTTGCGAAAAAGGGTGTCAGCAAGGGTCAAAGGAAAAGTTTACAAGACAGTGGTGAGACCAGCTATGTTGTATGGTCTGGAGACAGTGGCATTGACAAAAAGACAGGAGAAAGAACTGGAAGTGGCAGAAATGAAGATGTTGAGGTTCTCCTTAAGAGTGACAAGGATGGATAAGATTAAGAATGAGATCATCAGAGGTTGAACAACTGGGCGCTAAACTTAGAGAGGCCAGACTGAGATGGTTTGGACATATCCAGAGGAGGGACAGTGGTTTGGACATACCCAGAGGAGGGACAGTGGGTATATTGGTAGATGGATGTTAGAAATGCAGCTACCAGGAAAGACAAAGAGGAGATACAGTATATGGATGCAGTTAGAGAGGACATGGAGGTAGTTGGAGTGAGGACAGAGGATACAGAGGACAGAGTGAGATGGAGGAGGATGACTCATTGTGGTCACCCCTGAAGAGGGAAAAGACAAAGAAGAAGAAGAACTTGGAAATGGTCTTGAATCCTTTACTTTTAACTTTTAATATATTTAATCTTTCTGAGCTCCTTACCCAGCTTGGGCCTTTGCTTACTCTGCTCCATGTTCAGTGTGGTCAAACAACCCTACCAAACTACATGGTGGCTGTTTGTTCCCTTTAAAAAAGCTGAATGACTGGTGAAAAGTTTGAAGGCTCATGTTATACTAATGAAGGTTAAAATCTGTATGTGAAACATGACTATAATCCAAGGATTTATTAGTTTCTAAATTAAAGCCAACAGTTTCAGTGAGAAGATTATTAAACTTTAAACAAATCTGCAATTCAGCGCTGTGACTACCTCTTTCGAGCAGCACGGAGGCACAACTGGTAGAGCTGCTGCCTCTCAGCGAGCAGGTCCTTGGTTCAAACCCCGGTCCAGGGGCCTTTCTGGGTGGAGTTTGCATGTTCTCTCTGTGCATGCGTGGGTTTTGTCCGGGTACTCCGGTTTCCTCCCACAGACCAAAAACATGCATGTTAGGCTGATTGGTAACTCTAAATTGTCCCTAGGTGTGAGTGAGAGAGTGAATGGTTGTTTGTCTCGTTTGTCTCCATGTGTCCCTGTGATGGACTTGCGACCCATCCAGGGTGTACCCCTCACAGAGTGATTGCTGGACATGGGCACCGGCGACCCCCATGACCCAAAACGGAATAAGCGGGTAAAAGATAATGGATGGATGGATGGATGGACTACCTCCTTCATCACCTCAGAGGCTATCATTAACTCCTAGTTTTGTGTTTTCACTCATAGCGCTGATGCACAACAAAAGCTATTACCTAGCTTGAAATTATTCAGTAATGTTTGCTTGAAACTTACTACTAAATGAATAACATAATTTGCATACTTGTATAGAATGCAGTTTTTATGGAAAAGGTGTTATTTAATGTAAAATAAACTTGTTTTTTTTCAGGGGATGAAATTTTGGGGGCAACAATAAATTTTGATCACCTGTCAAAAGATGAAGTATTAAAAGTTCTGAAAATGATGGAACCATATGATGACAATATCCAAGTCTATACTCGAAAAAACCTAAACAGAAGCCTTGACAGCCTGAACCAGAGTGCTAGGACTCCTGAGGCGGTAGGTGGAATAATAACTGTAATTGTAATTGTAAGTGAATTCATTATTATTTTATGTTGCTTTATGCAACAGCAGCTCAAAACTGATATTTGTTGTTCTGATTTTTTTGACACTGCATTACACAACTAACTATAGTTTACATTTCTAGATGCTGAATGATTCCTACAATAAACTCTACAATGCCAAAATAAAGAAGTTTGTGAAGAGTGACTCTAGTGGTGCAGAGGCGAGCAGTGGGAACTGGGAGGCAACAGTACCGGCATCATCCATAGTCAGCCTTAAACATGACATGGGGTTGCCTCGCCTTGGAGTTGACTTTGGACTTCTGAAATCTAAGACTCTGGGCCAGGATGGTCATGTAGGTTCAAACTCTAATGTTAATGAATTAATAAATGGCAGCAATCTGAACCTTCCACCAATGGGTCTTGGTACTCTAAGTAATTCTCTGGCCCCAGGACTAAAACTTGATGCTAGAAATCCCCAGCTTATTTCTCCAGCCTGTCATTTGTCTGAGACATTCCCAGATGATCAGAATGACAGACATGTATCTGATAAATACACTGAGAGAACTTCATATGACTTGACAATGTCTAATCGTGAAAGAATTCCAGAAATGGGTTTGGACATAAAAGGTACAAATATGACAATTCCTAAAACTGGAATAGACCTCGGTGAGAAGCATTTTACTGGCCCAGCCTATAATGTAAGTGTTCCTGAAGTAGACACTGAAGGAACAAACCCAAAATTCAAAATGCCAAAATTCAAACTGCCTGATCTGTCCCTTTCAGAACAATCCATTAAAAGCCCAAAGTCTGAGGTTAAGATACCTGATGTTGAAACCTCAGGAGTTTCTTCAGGTAAACTCAGTTATAAGCATTCCAATAAACTAAAATCCCCGGATCTAAATTTGGATGATCCCTCCAGTTTTATAGAATCATCTAAGCTTAGGCTGTCAGGAAAACTTCCTCAACTGGACCTTGAACGTTCAGATTTTAAAATATCACAACATGATGTCACTGAAACAGACCTCAACATGTCTTCAGGTGACATTAAAATGTCTCTTGAGGAATCCAAGACTGGTCATAAATCTGATCATTTCAATGTGGATGCTCCATCTGGTTCATTTACTTTGCCCAGATTTGGGATTAATAAAACACCGCAATTTAAAGGAGGCATTTCCGCCTCTGATGAAAATTTGATCAGCACAAACATGAAAGAAACAGACTTGACCACTGACACTCCAGTTTATATTAAAGGTCCATCTGGAAAGTACAAGGCTCCCAAATTTACAATGCCAACATTTAATCTGCCAAATATTCAAGTTCCAGACTTGAATGGAGACATAGACCTACCAGATACCAATTTAACTGGACCATCGACAAATCTGAAGATTTCAAGCTCCCCTAAAAACGTCAAAATGTCCACAGGTTTGAGTCTGAAAACTCCAAATATAAAAGGAGGAATGAAAACCCCTGATCTGGACATGCCAAATAGCAAAATGAAAAATCCTAAGATAGATGTCAACAAACCAGATGTCAGCATTGGCTCACCAAAAGCAAAACTGAAACTGCCTAAAATAAAAATACCCAAATTTAGTTACCCTGGTATGACGGGACCTGAAATTAATGGCAACATAAATGCTCCAGATTTCAATGTAAATGCACCCAATGTCAATTTGAAAGGTCCTAAAGCAGATCTAGATATGAATCTTCCAGATTTATCTGGGGAATTTAAAAAGCCAAACTTAAACTTACCTGACCTAGGTGTTTCTGGTCCAGAGTTGGATGGCCCTAACCTGGGCCTAAAAACACCTGATCTTGATATTTCTGCTCCCAAACTCAGTGG